TCCAAACAGAATCAAAATAGTAATTCTTTTAATGGTAAAAAATAACCCTCAATTCTGAAAGACTATTTTTAAAATGGTAATAATCCCTTAATCAGCCACCAGCAGGGAATATGGCAATTTGGTTCAGACATTTTACCAATTACAACCCACTGGGTCCCTGTGTGGTGCTTTCTAAATAATCAAAACCAGCTCTTAATAGCCACTCGCTCCGACAGGAAGAGAAAGAACAAAACCAAATCTGAAGGAGAAGACACCATTACTAAAGAAAGCCCAGCCCAGCAGGTCACGGGGGGCAGGTGACAGCAAAGCAATAGACCTCAGTAAAGTGTTTTGATTTGGGAGCTCAGGGATTCCAAGAAAGTGAGCAAAAGCCAAGAGCAGGAGGTCCAAGAGCATGGGCTTTGGAATTGGACAAGCCTGAGGGTGAATTTTAGCTCTGCCCAAAGTCTTTGCTAATAGCGAACTTGGGTCAAGTTCCTTATCTTCCTGGAGCATCAGTTTCCCTATGTGTGATGTGGGGGTTTATCCACCTTCAAGGGCAATCCCCCATGTCAGACGGGATCTGTGCCAAGGGCCCATGTGGTGTCTGATTCACAACAGGTACTCAAGAGATGTTATTGCCTCTGTTTCTGGTTGCTCCCCCTTCCCCTGCCAGCACAACCTTGGATGGCATTGGAAGAATATTCAAGCAGAGCTACTGACTTTCCTCCCACTCTGGAAAAGAAGCCCAAGTAATTATCACTCCCCAAACCATTTCTTCATCCTATAATAATCAGGGGAAGGACACCTATCAAGAGGCAAAGATTGGGCTGGTGATTGAGATGGGACCTGGGGACCAGAGCTGCAGAGCTCTGTCTGTGCCCATGATACAACTTGCACGGTATTCACGGGTATTCACAGAGCCTGAGCGAGACAGGAAAGTAGCAGGACAGTCACCAGATCTGTTGAAGAAAAATGGGTAATAAAGGGGATTACCGCAATCCACTTTATAAATCCAATCAAGAATGTGTGTCCCTGGAGAAAAAGGAACCCTCGTGCACTGTTGGTGGGAATGCAAACTGGTGCAAGCCACTCTGGAAAACAGTATGAAGCTTCCTTAAAAAGTTAAAAATAGAGCTACCCTACGATCCAATTATCGCACTACTGGGTATTTACCCAAAGGACACAAATACATTAATTCAGAGGGAGACATGGACCCCGATGTTTATAGCAGCATTATCTGCTATAGCCAGCTTATGGAAGCAGCCCAAGTGTCCATCCAATGACGAGTGGATAAAGAAGATGTGATAATAAAGAATATTACTCAGCCATAAAAAAGAATGAAAGCTTGCCATTTGCAATGACATGGATGGATCTGGAGAGTATTACGCTAAGTGAAATCAGTCAGAGAAAGACAAATACCATATGATCTCAGGCATACGTGGAATTTAGGGAACAAAACAAACAAGCCAAGGGGGAAAAAAAGAGACAAGGGGGGGCAAACCAAGAAACAGACTCTTAACTACAGAGAGCAAACTGCTGGTCACCAGAAAGGGGTGGGGTGGGGGGAGGGGTGAACTAGGTGATGGGGACGAAGGAGGGCACTGGTCTTGATGAGCCCCAGATGACACAGGGACGTGCTGAGTCACTATTTGTACACCTGAAACTAATATCACATTGCATGTTAACTAATTGGTATTAAAATAAAAACTTAGAAAAATTTGTGTCCCTTAGGGTAGCTGAAGACCAGAAACGCCTTCGTCTTTGATGGACTCCTGGGCTCAAAAAGATAGACGTGGGCTATGGGGAGGTCAAGAGGAAATTCTATGCACAGAGGGCACTATTTGTCAAAACACAGCCTGTGGCCTCCCTGTACTGTAATTGGCTCTCTGGGTGCCAGACAAGAATATGCAGACCTACACAAGGCACCCCATTTTACTGACTCAGAATTTACAGCTGTGGAGCCTGGGAATATACGATTAAGGCAAGCACTTGGGCCATTCCTCTGCACGTCTGGCTTGGAGACACCCTACCTACACCAACCGTGTATGCAGCTGAAAAAGGACCAGTAGCCATGGTTCAGGACGCCGCAGACCAGAATCCCCTGATGGGCTGGGCTGAGGTGAGCTGGGCTGGGCTGAGGTGAGCTGAGCTGGGCTGAGCTGGGCCAGGCTGAGCTGGGCTAGGCTGGACTATACTGGGCTGCCCTGGGCTGGGCTGGGCTGAGCTGGGCTGGGGCCTGGATGCTGGCGATGCTGTTTCTTCCCAGCCTGAGTAGTGCCTACTGGACAAGCAGAGTTAAGGGAAAGAGGTACTTTGAACCTAATCAGCTGTCATTCAAGCAGAAGATGGGGTCAGAGCCTCCAACCAATTCTGCCACTGCAGGTGTTGCCCGGTGGGAGGGGGCTGGAAGGGGGCGCGTTCCGGGCAGCGCTCTGAACACAGGCGTGAGGTCCAATGGGGAAATGTTCAGAGCCTAGGACTGAACCTTCTGTGGAGTGCGTCTGGGGCTGGGCATGAGCGTTATGTTCTCCTAACTACGTCTTCCCCATGATTATCCCCATTTCCTTACCCTTTCTAATTTTTCCTATAGCACTGATCAGTACTGACACTGTATTATGTATGGATATGTTTGCCATTGTTTGTCCCATACTATAATATAGGCCCCAGGAAAGCAGACACTTTGCCCATTCTTTAAAGCCTGTGCTTAGACAAAAGTCAGGACCATAGTGTGCACAACAGGTATTTACTGAACACAGGAATGAACGTTCTTCATTTTGCAGCCCCTGAGCATACTGGGGCTCCCAGAAGTCCGCCTGGCAATTTCCCTACAGGCTGGAGGCTTCCTTTGTTCAGGGAATTAGGAGCCCAAGGGCATGATCTGAGCTTCCTAACCCCAAACTGCACTTATTATTTTCCCGTGTCCCCTGACTGTGAGCTCTCTCAGGGACCCTTGTACAGTGGAGTCTAAAAACCTGTGTTTTGAAGAAATTACCGAGGCGATGTTGAGGCATGATTTGTCTGTCATAAAGGTTAAGAAGGCGAGCTTCAGAGTCAGAGATGTTTGGGTTCAAAACCAGCTACCATGCTAACTGTTCAAGGCCAGGTCCAGCCATCTCTACGAGCATTCCTTTCCTCACTTATAAAATAGGCATTAAAAAAAAGTACCTATCACCGACTACCAACTAAGAAGAACAAACCCTAACTAAGATGGAACAAGTAACCTGCATAGTCCTATAACCATTTCAGAAATTGAATTTGTAATTTAAAGGTTCCCGAAAAACAAATCTCCAGGCCCAGATGGCTTTCCTGGAGTGTGTCACCAAACATTTAGAGAAGAATTAACGGCAGTTGTATACAACTTATTCCAGAACACAGAAGAGAAAGAGAACACTTCTTAATTCATTTTGTGAAGCCAGAGCCCTGATACCTAAAGCAGACAAAAGGAATAAAAAAATTAAGTAAAAAACCCTTCAAGCCCAAGGCAGTAACCGCCCAGAACATAGATGTTAAATCCTCAACAAAATATTAGCAAACCAAATCCAACAATGCCTACAGATTATACACTCTGTCCAAGTGGGATTTATTCCAGGGGTGTGACTCTGGTTAAACATTTGAAAACCAATTAATATAATCCACCATATGATCATGCTAAAGAAGAAAAGTAGTATGATTCTACCTGTTGACCCAGACAGAGCACTTGACAGAATTTAACCCCCATGTTAATGGCAAAAATCCTCAGGAAGTGAGAAAGAGAAGGGAACGCCCTCAACTTGATAAAGAACATCTACAGAGCACCAGGGCCAGCAGCACATTTAATGGTGGAAGGCCAGAGTGTTCCCCCTAAGATCAGAAACAACTTATCAATATTGAACGCTGATGTTCTAGCCACTGAGCCGGACAAGAAAAGGAAATAGATGGTATCCAGATTAACTGTCTCTATGCGCAGACGACAAACAAATAAAATGAAAATAAATGGAAAGCACCTAGTCCGTAAGGTTAAATGAGAAAACACATAGGACACAACCAATATGGTTTATGGCCGGTGGTAAGAGCTTAGGAAGCGCTAAGCTGCTCTGTGATGATGATGATGATGGAGGAAGAGGAGAGGAAGGGGAAGAGGAGGAGGAGGAGGGCAAAGAATCTGGATAACCTTGAGGAAAGGTGACTGTAGCCCCTTCCGGGCCACATTCCCACGCTCAGCTACTCTGATAGCCGGAAGCCCTCCAGTGCGTCTGGTTCCTGCTATAATTAGTTCATCAGTTCCGATTTCTCTGGCTTTTCTAAGGCTGGAGGAGGGCTAGCTTAAGAATAGGGGGTTGATTATCTAGATGATGGGGCAGTTGGGAGACCTTCAGGGAGGCACCTGGAGGGGCTGTCCGGATCCCTGTCTCCGCTGATGTGAGAGGACCGGACAGAGGGAGAATGAGCTCGTGGAAAAAGGAGGGAGCAGTGCGGGGTTGAAAAGAAGCTTCAGAGGACCGAGCTATCCAGAGCTGATGGGAGAAGATAGGTAGCAGACAGGAAGGGAGGGCTGTGACCAGCATGGGGTGAACGTGGGTCGGTCAGGAAAGAGCCAGCAGGAGGGAGCTGCCCGTCCACTCCAACACCAAAGGGACCCAGTTGGTTCCTTCCCTGCACGCTCTCGGGAGTCTGATGCTGGTTTCAGCGTTAGGGTGAAACTCAGGGAGTAGAATAATTCAAAATGGTGGGCATGGCCTGGGAATTTCTTCTTTATGTGATACCCTCTTGCCCCCCTTCCCCTACAGAGCATGATGACCTCCTTCTTGGTATTCTGCTGGGGCTGCAGTCCCTGACCCACACTAGCTGATTTGGTGGCCGGAAGTGGGGGAGGCTGGTGCATGCCGGGAGCCATGCATAGGAGGCAACCTGTAGCTCCCGGCAATAACTGAGAGCAGGGGCCATCCTGGGTGCCAAGGAGATATGGGATGGGAGGGTTGGGGACGCAGAAGGGAACAATGAGGAAGGATGGGCCATCATGGCTGTGGAGCCAGACTTACCTGCCGAAAACCGTTCCTGGTGAACTGTAAGATTTTCAAGGCATAGTTGGACCTCTGGCCTTTGCTGTTGAATTCAATGTGGCCGGTGAGACCTTCCAATTCTACCTGTCCAAGAGAGAGTGAGTTACAGCACCAAATAGGGCCCGTGTTCCACTTGGCTCTAAGCATTCCACACACGGGCTATTTAAGGATGCCTGAAAGAAAGCAGACCATCAAGGTCCATTCTCCTGCCTGTCTCTCAACCATAGGATCTTGTGACTACAAATGCGATGTTTCTGGAATGAATTCAGACTTGGCTGGGGCTGGAGTCAAAGAAGGATGCCCCACACCCAAGGACCGCACATAAACTAACACAGTGCCAAGATGGCGACCTGCACTCCAGTTCTCCTGTGTTCCTCCCCAGGGTGCTTGCTGTTAACAGAATCTATCCTCTTTGGGCAGCTGCTCACCCACCTTTGGGTCTGCAGGGAGTCAGGAAACCCCTGACTCTAAATGCAAAACCCACTCTGCACCAGGCTTCTCTGACAGGAGAGGTCTTCTTGGTGGGCTAGAGATCCATGTCCATCCCCCTAGGAGAGACACAGCTAGAGACACGGCCAGGAAAGCCAGCTCCAGACTATGCCTCCTAAGTGGGGCATCAGGGATCAGGGAACAACGGTGACCCACGGTGCAGGGAATGGTGTCACTGCGGATGGCTGTTTTATCTGGGGCTGGGATATTCCGAGGAGGACTGGAGGCGCAGGGTGGCGAGCAGAGCATCCCACCCCCACTGCGGGGCCCCAGCGGCCCCTCACCATACGCAGGTAGTTCATGAGGCTGGTGCCGTGCTGCCAGATCTGGGCCGAGCCGCAGGACAGAGGCTTCACGCCAATCTCCTGGCTGCGGTTGAGCTCCTGCACGGCGGTGACCACGGCGTAGACAGCGTCAAACAGCAGGGCCGAGGACAGCTGGGAGGGGGCGGACGGCAGGCAGGAGGGCAGTGGCAGGGGGGCCCAGGGAGAAGGAGGGATGGGTGTGAAGGGGGTGGGGAAGGGAAGAGAGAGGAGGAAGAAAAGAAGGGAGGGGGACGAGAGAAAAGAGAAACAAAGAAGAAATAAGGGCACTAGTTTTTTGCTCAGGACCACTGCCTGGCTCTGGGACAGCTCCACTTCCCCAAAGCGTTCAGGTGTTTGCCCGAGGCAGGCAGGGGTGGCGAAGGCTTCTCTGGGATTGGACCACCCAGCTGTCCCTTGGAGCCCCAAGCGCTTTCAAGGATATCTTTTTCTGTCTTTGCTCCAAGGAGGTATCAAATCCCGTTGCTGTACGAAATCCCCAAGAAGGGGATGGGGCTACCTATCTCGGGAAGAGGAAAGAAACCTGGACACTACGTTCAGATCTGCCCATTGCACGATGCTCGGCCAAAGGTCACCTACTCCTAGAAGACCCCAGGATTTGGCATCTCCCTGGATATTCCTACTATCCGTCTACTGCTCTGTACTACTCAGTGTGATGGGTACTTACAAAGCACTTGTAAACGCAAAGCCCAAACTAAGCAAGACTCTATTCCTGCAAGAGGCTGCCGTGGATAGGAGAGGGTGTACGGGGGGACAGGACCCAAACAAGGGTAACGAGAAACTGAGTGAGCGGACACACAAAGGTCGGGGCGGGGCGGGGTGGGGCCCAAAGAGGAAGACCATGTTGCGTGATCAAGAAAACATTTCTTGGAGGACACAGCGTGGGAACTGAGCACTGAAGGATTTTGGTAGAGACATCATTGGATCTGGGAAGGGGAGCAGCTGGGGGAGAGGAAAAGGGCCTCCAGAGGTGGAACTGGACATGCAAAGGGGCGCAAAGTGTGGGACACACTTGGGGGGCGCATGGGAGGGGAAGAAGCAAGAAACCAGCAATGTAGGCAGGGATGATTCTGCAGACGGAGTCAGAGCCCGGGGTAGAAGCCTAGGTAGCTTGTTCAAATTTTCTTCTCCCTAGTCTAACTGCAAGCTCTTCAGGCAGGAACAGGTAGGGCCATCATCTCTATACCCCACCTAGCATCTAGCACCGGGACCCAGCATGTGGTAGGCCCCCCAAGACATATTTCTAGAACTGAATTAAGTTTTGAGTGAAATCCGCCCACGGAGACTCAGCCAAAGCCCTGCCCCATGTATTAACCCGATGTTTGCCGCTTTGCGTAGGGGCCAAAAACCAGAAGATGCCCGCCCTGGACAACAACACTCGGCTGTTCACATACAGTCCCCAACAAGAAAAACCCACGGAGTGTAAATGACAATAGGGACAAACTGTGCAGGAGCCCTGAAGGGGAGACCCTGTGGGGACAGTCACGTCGGGGTCTGTCACTTCTTAGAACCTCCTCCTCCCTGGCCAGGCCCTGGGAGTCTGACCCCTCCAAGGCTGGAGGCAGGGAGACCATCTGGTGACCTCTGGGATTTTTTTCAAGCTCTCAAGACAGAGTGTAAGCATCTTGAGACGGGAACGCAGGGGAAAGCTCGACACCGGGAGGACTACACCCAGAGTCTAGATCCCAGCCCTCACGCATGTGCTGAGCAATCCTGAGCACGCTGGAAGCCTGGAGAGAACAATGGCTCCCCGTAAAGGAGAGGCAGGCCCCTGGCTCGCGGGTCTGTAACGTGTTCTGGCAACTGTGTACCCCCTGGGTGCGGGCAGGTGTCAGCCCGGGAAGCAGGTGCTGGCTAGGGGGTGGGGGGAGGTGTGTGACTTCGGATCATCTTTCTAAAAGTCAGTCACATCTTTCTAAAAGTCAGTCACATCTTTCTAAAAGTCAGAACAGCCCAGAGAGCTTCCCTGCCCTGATCCGCATTCACTTGCATTGCGAAACTGCCTTCTTCCTCCTTCTTCCCCTCTCCATCCCTCTCTTGCTCCTTCTTTTCTTCCTTCCACCTGCTTCTTTTCCTTCTTCCCACATTTATTCAGCTCCTATGATGTGGCAGCACTGAGACCTCAACATCTCCCGTTCTCCTCCAAGACATCCACACGAGCAGGAGCCCCTGTGTCCCCTGTGCCTGGGCTGGGCCTCTCAGCTACCTCACCCCTCCTTTTCTGTCCCCTGGCCCTGAAGTGCCCTGTGGCCTAAAGACCAAGCAGGTAGGGGCACTAAACAGAGCGATCAGGACCAGTAGAAAGCTCTGCAGTCAGGCTGAGCCGTGCTGACCGGCCACCTCCCTCGAGTCCCTCCCGCCCATCACCTCCTGCTCTCTCCTCCCCACCGCCTTCCCCTCTGCAGCTCAGCTCCTTCTTCATTGATCCCAGGCTCACCTGCAAGGTGCTCGATGCTTCTCGGCGAGCCTACAACTGTCCTTGTCCTTTGCACATAATTCATTTTCCCCCGAGCACATGTGGCTCCTTTATTAATGGACCTCTCACATTTCCTTGCCAAAAGGACATATGGAAATGATCAATGCTACAGACTCTCCCTTTCCAGCTTAGACAAACATTGACCCGAGGAGGGGGGCGTTGGTTACCGCCACTGACATTGGCCCCCAGATCCTTCTGTTTCGCTATTTAAAGGATACAGTAAACTAATTTCTGTCCCACCTTCTCCTTTGTCTCGCCACTAATCTGTCCATTCAGAGAGTCTCAAAATCTCGGCCTATTAGACAGGAAAGGCTCCTAGACATCAAAGAGACCTACTCTCTTATTTTATCAGTGATGAAACCAAGGCTCAAAGAATTCACCTCCTGCCCAAAGTCACCAAGCAGGACAGAGGAAGGGCCAGGACTGGAGTCCCAGGACCCTTTCTCCAGTCTGGTTTCCTTCTGTCTATGACATTGTCCTTCCATCCCCTCGAGAAACCGGTGGTGAGTCATTACCCTCTCAGATTTATTCACATGCCCAGCCTCCCGGGACAACATGGGCAGTCTTCTCGATATGGTGACCTTCTCAACAGCAGACAGGAGCATGAGACTCGTGGGCCAGAGCTGGGAGTAGGGAAAGGTAGTGGGCAGGCCTCTCTCTTGTCCTGGGTTTGGCCATCACCCAATTTGCCCCTTGGTCCGACTGGTTGTCTGTCCTCACACTAGCCTCTCAGTAAAGAGCCACTTAGAAACGTCGTTAGAACAGGACAGGGCAGGACAGAGGGGGCAGTGGGAGGGGACCATCGATTGCCTACCCAGCACCCATTCTCCCCTTCTTCCACCCCAGCAGAGCTCCCATTGTGCTCGGGTCTCCTCCACTCTCCACGTGCTGCAGGGATGGCCAGTCTAGCCCCAGCTCTCAAGGGATCCTGAGTGGTCCAGGAATCCTTCCATCATCACCATCATTGATTCGGGAATGGGCCAGTGGCCCAATTCTGATCCACAGAGACACGAACTGAGACCAGCGGGGAGGGATCACTTCTCAGAACTCTCCAAGAGAGGGAGTCCTTCCTCCTCCTCTCTGCACTACCGTGTCAGGACATGGCGCCTGGGCCTACAGCAGCCAGCCTGGCTCTGGCCTGAGGTCAGGCTTGACAGAGGGGACAGAGAAACAGAAGAAAAGTGGGTTTCCAAAAACATCCGTCCAGAGTCTGCCTTCCCTCCCAACTTGCTGTGACACGAGGTCACATGTTTCCTTTTGGTGCATAAAGCAGTTTAATACAAGACTTCCCTTGTTGGAAGCGGAATGCACCTTAACCAGTACGAAGGCCCCAGGGACCACCTTCCTCCCAGGGCACGGTTGCCCTCAGAGAGGCCTGGGCCCCCTCACCCCCTCTAGAGGCCCTTCTTCTTAGGAGGCTGTGTGCTGGTCCCTGGCAGACCCCAGTCCCTGCAGACTGGCAGACGCTGCTCTCCGCGCCATTCCTCACACCCTCCCACCAGCCCCCAGGCTCCTTCCTGCCTCCTGCTTGCTGTTCCCACTCATCTGGGATGCAGTTCTCTTGGCTGATGTTCTCTTATTAGCAAATGATCCGGCTGCTGGGAGTGGGGCACGTGCCCGTCCACAGTGTTCTTTGGGCATCCTGTGCTCTGGGACCTTCGTGGTATCTGCCAGCGCTTTTAGGAACAGAAGCCCAGAGAGGGATGATGGGGGCAGGGGTGAGTGGAAGGGGGTCAGCCTCAAGTTTCCTGTCTCCTCTCCATCTGCATACTGACTTTGGAGAGGTGACACAGTGGCAGTCCCCAGTGAGCCCGGGGCTTCACGGGTCCTCTCTGCGGCTCAGCCTGGGCCCATCCGAGCAGAAACCTTCTAATCCCCGAACACCATCCCTCCCAGCTGATCTCCTCAGAGCCCTCCATACACAGCCCCTGTCTCGAAGACTCCTGGTGAGGCTCCCAGGCCTTCCGCCCGGATCCTCCAGCTGCCTCTCTGAGCCCCGCCGCCCCTCCCGCCCCAGATGCCCATCTCCTCCGCTCAGCCAGGTCCACCTCTGACCGGAGGGCCTGGGATCTCTGCCTCATCAACAGTTGGGCTCACTGCAGATCGCCATCCCACAGCAGCCTGCTGCTCTCCTCGCTTTCGCTCTCTGCTATTATTTACTAGTTTAGCTCTGGCAAGCACTCGGGATTGCACCTGGGAGAAGGCGGCTCTGGTACCAACACAGCGCTCCGTCCATGTCTCCAGTCTGGGTGGAGACTCCCCTCCGTTCCTGCTCCTTCCTGTCTCCCATCCCATCGCCCTTCCCTTCCCCACCTGCCCCTGTCTTTCCGTGGCTTCCATGCCCCATCTGTGCGCATGCCTCTCTCGTCTTGTCTCCGCTTCCCCTGTCCCTGATCTTCTAAACATTAAATCCCCCGAAAGGCTCAATCCTTGTTTAAAATCCTCTCCTCTTTTCTTGGCACCAAAATGTCACTTGGCAAGGGATTCTTGATTTCCCTTGTTTTTATATTATCATTTGGTTCTTCATTGTTATTTCCTTTTGAGCTGTTTGTAAATTGTTTAGGGGAACGAAAGACTGTATAAATTAAGATGAAATCAATCTGACGCAGGGAACAGTGGCTGAGTTTCCACCCCCTCCTCTGAAGAAAAAATAAGAATATCTTCCAAATACACACCTGTAAACCTCATCTCCCCCTCCCCGGGCAGCTCGCTCACCCAGACCACTGGGATCCCATTCTCTCGGATGCCCATTCGTCTCTGAACCTCTGTAGCTTAAACTCTGTCCCCCCAAATCAGACCAGGACAGGAGCCATTAAAATCTCATCCAATAGTCCGTACAATCTGGGTTTCATTCAATGAAATAAACACTTAATTACAAACATCTGTTTTAGCCTAAATTCTAATTACTTAACCTAGCCATCTGTAATTTTAACGATTTTCTACGAATTTTGTTCTTTGCAGTGTGATTAATGGGAACGGCATGTGAAATAGTGGGTATGTGTCTCCATCCACAGCTCCCCCACCTACAGCTCACACAGCGTCAGGCGGGAGGCAAGAGGAAACGTGCTGTCAGCCACCTGGAGATGCATCCCGGCCGGAGTGTGTGTGTGTCCCCCTGTGTGCTGAGCTCAGCTCGCTCGCTCTCTTTCTCGATGACTAACCCCTCAGCTCAGATGCTCCCTCTCTGTGTCCTCAGAGCAGCTGCCCTGCACACAAGGGGGACACACACAATTCAGGAGGAAGAGAAACGGGACAAGAGAGATGCCAAGGGTGCAGAAGGCAGATGGAGTGCAGGAGAGGAAGGGGAAGGGGAAGAGAAGGGAAGGAGGTGACTGGGGGAGGGGAAAAGGAGAAGGGAAGAGTCCAGAGAGAAGGCACGAGAAGGAAGAGACAGAGAGTGCAGAGGGGAACTGCGGGAGAGAAGAGGACCCTGGAGGCAGGAGAGAGCGGGTCCCCGTGGAGGAGCTGGCTGGCTGCAGCCTTTTTAGAAAGCTGGATGGGGGGGGCGCCTGGGTGGCTCAGTGGGTTAAAGCCTCTGCCTTCGGCTCGAGTCATGATCCCAGGGTCCTGGGATTGAGCCCCACATCCGGCTCTCTGCTCAGCAGGGAGCCTGCTTCTCCCTCTCTCTCTCTGCCTACTCATGATCTATGTCTGTCAAATAAATAAAAAAATCTTAAAAAAAAAAAAAAGAAAGAAAGCTGGATGGGGGGAAGAGACGGACCTGGGCTTTCCTGGAACTGATTATTTCTCGCCTTCCATCTCCCCAGCAAATAAAAGAGCTGGGCTGTTTGTGCTGGGAATTTCAACCCCCAAAGAGACAGGAAGAGGCTCTGCTTTTCAAAAGGCAGTTGCTAAGTGAGAAGCCTTGAGAAGGATTTGTTGCTGTTTGAAGCTGGGAGCTTTCTTTCCATATTCTTCCAGGTGAGGAGTTTCTATAACAGCTCCCCTTCCTCCTCAGAGGCCACGGAGATGGTGGCTGCAAGGCTCTTGGCACAGAGAGGCGGTCTTGGGCTCTAATCTCCTTCTTCTGTGCCTCAGTTTCTCCAATTACCAAACAAAGGGCGTGTGACCACTCTCATCTGCTATAGGATGTCATTAGTAGGAAAAGAAGAGGTCGAGGTGGGATAACTTTGTAGGAAGCGCTCCAGGGTTCCTTAGCTCTGCACACAGTTGAAACACATGGAATGAGCACCCCAGTCTCCTGAGCTAGAAAGAACACATGTCCCTATTTCGTCGGCAAGCAAACAGCAGGGCTTGGCCAAGAGAATGCTGACTGAGGTAGCACCACAATCCGGGACCCAGGATGGACTGTCCCCTCCTGGGGACCAGGGCTGGGTCTCGGGCTCACACTTCATCTCCTCACATCGCCCCGCTGAAGTAGGCTTATACTCTTGTTCTCCACCCCCAACGTGGAGGGAGCCTCCAGAGAACCCCTCATTCCCTGAAGGTCCCCCACATTCTTGGGGAGCACAGGACGCTGAGGATTTGGGAGGTCTGAGACTGAATGGGGAAGGACAAATATGAGGTCAGGAGGGCTGCTTCCATGTGACCCAACAGGCAGCCCCTGCTCCACCCTGGATGCCTTCACACCCTGCACGGTGTCCTGCACGCGCAGTGAGCAGCAATGTGGTCTTTGCTTCCCCCTCTTCCAGGAAGCCTTCCCTGACCATTCCAGGCAGAACTAAGGGGCTTCACTCGGCTTCCACAGGGCAAGATCCCACAAGGACCATTTTCCTAGAGGTGGAGGCAGATCTTACTTCACACATCACAAACCCCGAAAGGTAAAGGCTTTGGCTCTGCTTCACCGGGATGGATTACGGGCTGGGTCCCCATCCTTCATTCTACCCTGGACTCAGGTCTTTTCCTTCCGACTCCTTACTTTCCTTCTCTAAAAGAGCAGAGTCTGTTTCCTCATTCCCTGACTTTGAATGTGTCTGTGTGCCTTTCTTTGGCCAGCAACATGATGTGGCAGTCGCTGTGTGCCCATTCTGGGAAATTAGCACTAAAAGGCCTGGTGCGTTCCTACTTGCTTTGTCACAGTCCTGCCATCGCCCTGAGAAGATGCAAGGCTGGCCCAGCCCGGATTCACAGAGGGAAGGGCTCAGAGGTGCTGACCCCCAGCTGGGTTAGGGATCTGTAGCTAATCTTCCCTCACGCCCCAGACAAGCTGATCTGATGTACGGATCCGTGAGCTACACGAGGGCTGCACGTCACATGCTCATGCGATTTGGGGGTTGATTGTTACTCAGCATTTATACGGCAAAAACTACCAGATGCATCTCCTAATACCTCTCCCTGAGGCGGCCCTATAGCATGTTAAATAAGCTCATTTGGTGAATAACTGATTTGAAGATAGACTTATGTTCCACTTTATCTTCAGAAAAATCTCCTAAGATGGTCGAGCAGAATCAGCCCCAAATGACAAGAATTGGTAAAGAATTGGAGGCTCAGGGGAGCCTGGATGTGAGCACTAATGGAAAGGCTGAGCCCCTCTGAGAGCAACTAGAAATATGGCCCAGAGACTTTTTGATTTCACCAGGCCAGGTGCCGAATGTGGAGGAGTCTGGGCTGGAGAGCAGGCAGCAGGCTTTGTTTCCTTTCCTGGTACTACCCCGTGAGCCTTCCCAGGCTGCCAGCACTCATCAGAATTTGGGAGCCATGGCTACAAGACAGGCCAGGAGAGCAGGGTACAGGTCTGCCTCCGACTGGGAGGGACAAGCCTTGTCCTACCATACTTGAGCATGTCCTGGGCCATCCCAAACCCATCTACTGGTGGGGAGAAGCCCTTTCCTTCCGATGTCTCACCCCTGCCAAGTCCCTCCTGTGGATTCTCACCTCTTTCAGGTCTAAAATACCTTGTCGGAATGTGCTCCTTAAACCGTTCCTGAAACTCAGCTCTCAAGTGTCCTTCTACCCGGCTCCCTGCTCACAGCTCCCTGAGCTCTGCATGAGCTCTGACCCCTTAGTTACCCCTTCCTTCCTAGGACTGCCAGCAGCCTACGCAGTCCTCAAGGTACACAGCTTGCTGGAAGGGCCCTCCATCCGCGCGCCTGCCTTCAGGAAGCCTGTCGCTGGGTCACCGCCTTAGCCAACCACTAATTAGGTGTCTGTTTGTGCAGATACCCAGAAACACCCTTGCCCCTGGACATGTATCAAAGCCAGGTCTCGCTCCTATTTTAGGAGCCCTCCAGGGAAGGTCCCACGCCAGGAGGGTGTCCGGTTCCATTGTCACCTCTCAGGCCTACTTCTTTTCCAGTTCGTTCTGTCTCTAGCTCACTGTTCTGCCCTCCTCAATGATTCACTCATTCGTTTGACAAATACCCACTAACTACTCTCACTTTGCCAGGCCAGTGTGCAGTGGCACCACAAGTGAAGCTCCTAGAAGGGGGAAAACAGCATAGCGATTAAAACTTTGAACTGGTTCTGATGCTGGTTCCTCTGCTTACTAGCTGTGTGACCCTGCGCTATTCACTTAACCTTTCTGGGCCTCTGTTACATCATCTGCAAAGTGAAGATACTGATAGCAGACCTTGGAGAAGTTACGGGAGCATCACATGAGCTGTCTTATGAGGCTCTGGGAGGCTTAAATATAACACGGCTAGGACAGGACCTAGAAAGCCAGACAATCCTGGTCTCCTGAGATCTCGCCTTTTAACAGACGGACACAAGCCTGCATACTGGACCTGCCCCACAGAGTATGGACATCAAACCCAGCGCACTATGCCGGGGAAAACTCTGCTTCCATCGCACATAGAGCAGAGGAAGGAAGTCCAAAGAGGAAGAACATGGGTGAGGGCATAGGATAGCCTCTTTGGGGCGCCTGGGTGGCTCAGTGGGTTAAGCCTCTGCCTTCGGCTCAGGTCATGATCTCAGGGTCCTGGGATCGAGTCCCGCATCGGGCTCTCTGCTCAGCAGGGAGCCTGCTCCCCTCTCTCTGTCTCTCTGCCTGCCTCTCTGTCTACTTGTGATCTCTGTCAAATAAATAAATAAAAAATATTAAAAAAAAAAAAAAAAGGATAGCCTCTCTGCATGAGCTCCTGCTCAGGGCAGTGGTCCAGCAGGATGGAGAGAGCCGTGCACCAGAAGTGAGGACATCTCAGAATCTAGCATCACCCTGCAAAAGGCTTGACGTTCACCTTTGAGCAAGACCTCCACGTCCCCACCCCGAGCCCCATTCCCAGGCTGGGCTTCGGTTTCCTATCCTGAAAAATGAGGACCTGATGAGCTACAAGTACCTTCCAAGAGGAGGACTGTGGATCCTCAACTCAGACAGTTCTCAGCAACAGCACGAAGGGGAGTCTGGCCACAGGACATGCACGGACATCAGGATACCACTCAATGACAGATCCGTCCCTCTGCACAGGGCTCTCCCTGCGGGCCTCCAAGAAGCTTGCTGCTCACAGCTCACTCTTCCCCAAACTTCCCTTGTAACCACTTCCCAGTACTGGTACACACCTCTCTCTGAGCGGGGGCCCGGAGGGGGCTGGACCCCAGGAGGGTACGTGCAGGAGGAGGCAAACGGGCACAGGGAGGGCTCCGGTGGGTACTTACCGCAGGCCCCGTGAAGGGCACGTGGTCACAGTTCTCCTGCCATGACTGGTTGAGGCTCTGGGCAAACTCTTGGAAGAAAGCATGAGACTGGTTGAAGATGGAAAATCCCAGAATGTTGACCCGGTCATCCACAAGGCTGTCCATTCTCTGCAGTGAGAACTCCTGCAAGACCCGTGAGTCAGAGAAGGGGGTTAGCAAGGGCAGAGGCATGGGGATGGAGCACGTCCAGGGCTCTCCTTCTAGTCCCATGAATGTTTGCTGGCAGGCACTCTGCTAGGTACTCAGGATCCAGAGAGAAGCACGGGTGGCTCTTCTGAGAGCTCACAGTGTTGGGAGAAGAGAGGAGGAAAGAGAAATAAGTAGCATGATCTCTAAGAAAGGGGTATGTGTAACGTGCACGGCATGGAGAGAGGAAAAGTCCAATGAGCGTGGGGGGAGCAGGACTGTGTGCACAGATGGTGTGACCCTTTGAGCTGAGCCTTGAAGGAGGCAGAGGCATCCTCTGGGTGGCAAATGAGGATGGACAAAGGTGATTCCAGAAAGAAGTCCCCATGGTGGCCGTGATCGGAAGGCACGGAGGTGAGAAAGTGTGGCCCTCTCGGCCAACTGCCTGCCGGGTACTCGGACCGGACAGCACTGCTCCAAGTGTGGTCCCCAGAGCACCTGCCATTGGAACTCTCAGAGATAGCTTTAAAAAAAAAAAAAGAAAAATATTGGGGTGCCTGGGGTGGCTCAGTGGGTTAAGCCTCTGCCTTCGGCTCAGGTCATGATCTCAGGGTCCTGGGAACCTGCTTCCCCCTCTCTCTCTCTCTCTGCCTGCCTCTCTGCCTACTTGTGATCTCTCTCTGTGTGTCGAATAAATAAACAAAATCTTTTTTAAAAAAATGTGACAATTTCTGGGCCCCACCCAACACCCACTGAATCTGAATCAGCCAAGCTGAGGCCCGGGAGTCTGCCTTTTCAGCAGGTCCCAAGGTCACATGCACAGCAATGCTTGGGAGTCATCAGGTGAGCACGGGGGATATAGGGGGTGAGGGAACAGGGAGAGAGGAGGCTGGGGAGGTCAGCAGAGGCCAGAGCTTAGCGGCCTGGCCGGCAGGCTAGGGAACCCACACTTCATCCTATAGGGGCTGGGATCGGAGGGGACTGTCGTCAGGGGAGTGACAAAGCCAGGTTTGCTTTCGAAGAATCTCAGCCTGGAGGTCTGCCCATAGGGTTGTGCCTTCGCTTATTATTACATTTTCCCATTCATTTAACAGATACTCGAGTACTTATCCTGAGCCAGACCCAGGCACAAAAGATGTTCCAGGCACAAAAGATTCGAACGAGAGAGACTCATGTCCTGCTCTCAAGGAGGCTGTGGGTTCTTGGAGGAGGCAGACAGTAAGCACACACAAAAAACAGAATTTCAGCCATCTATGGGAGCGACAGTGGGGCAGGGGGAGCTGCTTTGAATGAGGGAGTCAGAGAGACCCCATCCAGGGTAGTGACATTTAAAAGCTCAAGGGCATTCTCCCAGGACCCACAGCTCTCTTCCAGGGCCCTGGCTGGCTGGAGCCAGCGGCTCTCCCAGCAAGCTAAAACCTGCAGGCACGAGTCCCATGGAGGCAGGTCAATGTCAAAGGGAGAAGAATTACCCTCCTCCGGCAGGGCTGAGCTCAAGGTGTGCGGGCCCTCCGAGGCTCTGTGTGAGGAAACCCGGCAAAGAAGGTGTGCATTTCCTGAGCTCACCAATCCTGCTCCTGGAAGAATGGCTTCCAGTGCAGCTCAGGTCATGTTCACGCCCTGAAGTCACACCCAACGCATGTTCATTCCGAGCACCTTGCCCATAGCTCTGTAGTTACAGAGCCCAGGACGAACCCAACAGCCACTCGGCCTATCGGGACAGATGGCAGGAGCCCCGGGCTTCCTTTCTTGCTGGGCCGAAGCACCGCTTACACTGCATTGCAGACTCCTTTTCTTAAGACATAGCCCGGCCGGGGCCCTGGCCTGTCCCTGCACCCTCACCTATGGTAGCCTCTGCCAAGGCCTGAGGCCGTGGGCCTGAGCTCCCGGCCCCGAGTCCAGCCTGATGAACCACAGCTTACAAACTAGAATGACAAAGGTTCTTTTGGAGCCTCCAACCCCTGACGGCGGCATGAAGCCGGTTAAAGATTAAGTATATTTTGGATCCTGCCGCATTCCCGTTAGGGGAACACAGACGTGCCAGAGAACGTATTGACTCATAAGCTGATATTATCTCTGGGCTCTCGAATAGGGCAGCTGCCCGTGCGCTGTGGGCTCCCAGCAGCACGAGGGGCAGATGGCTAATAAGAAAAGATGCATCTGGCAAGAGGGCCAGGGGGGAGGTGGTGGGGGCACAGAGCCAGGCTACTGTCAGGCAACCAAGAGGCCTCATCAGCGAGAAGGTGCCCCCTCTCCCTTGGCTTTCCTCATCACCTCTCCCCTCCACCCTCTCTCCGACACCTCCTGATGGAAGGAGGCCCATCTCAAGGGAGCCCTGATGTCTCACTCCCCATGGCACACTCCCCATGGCAGTAGGTGCATATAGTGAGTAAGGGCTTTGGCGTTCAGATCTAGGTTCCACACCATACTGGATGCCCTTAGGGAAGGACCTCTCTGGGCCTCAGTTCCTCATTTTGAAAATGGGAACCATCCTGAGAGCAACCAAACAGGCTGTTTCAAGGAACATGGGAAATGCACGCAAAAGGCTTTATATTGTATTTTGCACATGGAAGTAAGTGTTCAACGTAGGACAGTGACCGATATACGACCTTGAGCTCTCGGGCACCTTCCGGCCCTCAGTGTTAGTTCTACTTACTTAGGAAACATGAGTTAGGAAGGTGTTTCCTTCAATTCTGTGCTCTGGGCAGAGGAAGACTGAATGAGTTAATTACAGGCACTTAGAGACGACCCTTCTAGAAGTCAGCCCGTCTGTCTTCTTGCTTTTAATTCCTACCTTCTTATCCCTCAATTATATCTTTTTTCAAAGGCCTCCTTAAGATAAAAAGATCCAGGAGCTTCCTTCATAATTCATTCTATTTATAATGACTCATGGGAGAGCTTACAAAAGGACAAAAAAGGGGGTGGTGTGTTCTCTTATCATAATTTCCCGGGACACTCTAGACTCTACTCCCTGAGGGCCCTCTCAGGTAGGAAGTGCCTCTTTATGTCTAAACTTGGACTCTTCTGCTGCTGCTGAAGGCTGAACTCTAAATGAATAATGGGAAACCCCTGACCACTGCCAGTTTCTATACAATGAACACCTTCTAAGCCAGTGTTTGCCCAAATGTGTTCCTGGGGACACTAGCTTTTCCAGGATGTTAAGAGAAATTTCACAGAAACAAGGTTCCCACTCAAGGTGAGAAGACACTGCATATTATTTATATCTGTCTTTTTAAGATTCATCACACACACTAGCAACATGAAAAGCTTAAAGAAATCCTGCAGGAAAGCAGCTTGTTCAAATTTTGTTCAACCCAGAACCTTCCAAATGTATTATCATGGAACACTTCTTTCTCCCCAAACCTACGAGGGTCTCACCGTAGTGTTCTACAAAATGTACTTTGGGAAATGCTCCTCTTTTCTGAGGGAGAGGTGTGGGAGAACTGTGTGTGTGCAAGTGGGAAGGGTGAGAGAAAGAGAGGGAGAGAGAGCCCGGCGTGGGGCTGGGGCTCATGACGCTGAGATCACGACCTGAGTGGAAATCAAGCGTCAGCCACTTAACTGACTGAGCCACCCAGGAGCCCTGGGAAATGCTACTCTAAACACATTCAAGAAAATAACGGATTATACACCCCAAATCAAGTGGCGGAAACATTTTGCTGAGAGAGATATTTCATAAAATTAACAATTTCAGGATTGGAGGGGATTAAGAGCCATCTGGTTCCTGCTGCCCACCACAAGCTGTAGGAATGCACACCTGGCTCACTTGGTTCCCTGTGCCCCCTCCCCACCGACCACACAACCCGGCTGGCTGCAACCTTACTTGAAATGAGAGAAAGGGCTGGAAGTCCTGGGGTTAAACAGGTTCTTACTGGGGAAGGGGGGGGCTTCATTCTCTTCTTATAAATGGTTCAGGAAGGGAAATCCTGAGGGTCCTCGCTCCCAATGGGACTGGATTCCATTGCTGTGACACCAGGGGAACCAGGGTGAAGAACAGAGCCAGGGGCCACCTGGTAAAGAGGAGCGGCAGAACAGAGCAAGCGCGAATCTACAGTGACCCCAAATCTGCATGAATTTGTGACATCCCCTGCACTGCCATTACCTTCTCGTGGCCTCTCTCCCTCCAAAGGCCCATATGTTTACAGAGAACAACATCAGGCTTGTCATTGAACCCCACGCTGCCCCCAGCAGAGTGCCTGACGCCCGCAAGCCGTCTGCTAAATGCTGGTTGAGGACTGTTGTTTGAAGACGTTTCTCACTGACCGAGGACCCCGGGGTCCTCAGGGTGCCTAACTCTTACCTAGTCTCCTAGTCTGCAGTCTTCGTCCCACAGAAGGTGTACGAACATGAGTAAAATTTGCGCCGCGCCCTGATTATCCTCTGGAGGTTGCATTGTTGTATCTTGAAAAACAAACTCCTGATAGCTTGTTTTCTTATCTTTTGACTTTCATATTAGAACATTTTTAAATGTGTATGCATGCACGCATATATGAGAGAGAGTGTGTGTGTGTGCATGTGTGTGTGTGAATTTTTGAGTGTGCAAAGATTTGCAGGGAACTACATAACTGCTGTCAAAGGTCATGTCGCAGCCACAAACGGATACAGGGGTTACCCTTGAATGAGGGTAACCCCTGAATTCATGGTTACCCTTGAATGAGGGCCATTTTGAACAGGCCTGGAAGGAAAGCCTTGTGGCTAAGGGTTTGAGAGCGACATGGAGAGGTCATTGGGAATGGTACAACCCAGGTGAGCGCCCCTCACTTTCTCCAGCAGGGGGGACATTTCCAGTGTCCTGGTCCACCAACAGGCATCCACTCACCAGCCACCTGCAGGGACTTCCTGGCTCTCCACCCACAGAGCCAGGGGCAAGGGCAGGCTGTGAGTCAGGGGACAAGGTCAGTTGACTAGAGCTAAAAGCACAAGAACTTTGAATGATCCAGATTCAGTTTCTGTGCTCGACTTTAAGAAGAAAAGCAAGAAGGTAAAACATGGGCTCC